ATCAGGGCTTCTCTCTTCTGTAAATGTTTATAAACGTAACTCTGTTCCATCGTGATCTCCCCACTGTTGCACGAAGCATCGGGTACTTCTAAAAATAAATATCTAGACGATATAACAAAATATCTCAGTATAAGGATCTTCACGTGTTAAAATTCATATTCTTAATTACGAAATTAGAAGCGTGGCCTTAATTAATTCCAGGCAACGCTGAAATATTTCCGGAGTAGAATGTAGTCTTGTTCAATTCTGGAAGGTGTTATCGAAAAATCTATACTAATTCGCGCGATTCGGCGGAAATATCATCGGACAAACAAACGAGCCGTTCAAGCCCAATTTTTACGACGTTCGGCCCCGTCAATGACGTATCAAGATAATGGGTATAGATCAAAGGGTATCAAAGTATCTCTCAACGTAAACGACAACTTATATTTGCGTTCCTGTCGGCCGCGTGGAAACGATAATACGACGGCGGGACGAGAAAGGGGAAGCTGTGAAACCACGAAAAGCGAGAACGTGAGCTTCGACGGCCATGACGATCTCGTACCGACGCATCATTGGTGGACAGGCTACGAAATTAATACGAAGCAAACGGCCATCTTGTCCCTGTACCGAATCTACGTACGTATACGAAAAGGGGTTCTAATGTGCCACGGTGTATGGATATCGGGGAGCCGCGTTACTCGAGTCACCGCGTCCATGTATATATTCGCACGCATACGCGCGCGCGCGAGCGAGCGAGAAAGAGAGAGAGAGAGAGGGCTTGTGCGTATACACACGTAAGTATGAGAAGGCCGCGGACGTGTGCGTGAAGATTGATTATACCGCGGGAGAAAATGTGATCAATAGCTCAACAAACAAAGGCCTCCGACGCCTATATAATGCAAATAGCAAAAATCGCGGAGGATTAAGGGAGTTGCGAAAGTAGGGGACGTGAAACAGGAGCAAGAGGGGGGGGGGGGGGAAGGNGGGGGGGGGGTGGAAGGCGGCATGAGGTAGGGTGGTGTGATGGTCAAGAAACAATACGGACGCGTGCGGCTACTTCAAGTTTGCTTGACACCACCGCGCAGGCAGCCCTTGCGCGCACCCTCTGCACCCTTCGACTTCGCACCCTCCGGTTCTTCCCTACGAGTCAGCTTGGAACCCACCGTCCTCGCTTTAATTTGCATACGACCGATCATGTCTTCCGACTCGCCTTCACATCCTCGTCGCCATACCTCACGACCATCGATCAAGCCCCGATTGTTTTTGCTCTAACTCATCCCCACTTCGCCACCCGGATTGGACGCCTTCGTGCTGGGGGTTGCTCGTTGGTCACTACCCCACACGTACGTCTCCTGTGCGCGCACACCGACTTTGTATGGCCCTTCAGCAGTCGAGAATCTCGCTAACGAGGGGTTCTCCTTCTACCGATGACATTGTTCCAACGTAGAAAACCTGCCAACATCCGCCAACCCTTGCCACCGCCGCGCCTGACGATAATTCTCCGCTCTTACTTCTTTCATGGTTCCTGTCCTTCAGCTTTTTCCATAATACCGGAAATAAACAGTTTAAATGATTGATTGTCGAAATGCTGATTCACGTGGCATTAATGCAATACCTGTTATCTTAAATCATTGATTCTTGGATTCTCCAAGAAGTTTTTGAGAATGTACAGTTGTTAACGTGTTATCCAAGATTGATTAATCAATTAATTTTTCCGCGTGTAAAAGGATGAAGTGATCTAATTTACGGAATCCAATGACAAGACACGATATTACTTTCTCACGAGGCGGCAAATTACTTGCGAGATACATCAATACCGAAAATGGTGTATGCAAGATTGAAATTCGATACAGCGAGTGATATACGCCCACGACAATCGAAGATGCCTGGCTTCTACGAACTACTCAGAAACATAAAATTTTGTTGAAGCCTGTCGACCATCGCACAGCCATCTCTGAATAATATATAGTTATTAATACTATCGATATCCGAACGAACTAACTGTGTGAGTCGAAAAGACAGTAACCTTCCGTTACATATTCACGTTACCGTTATAGCGACATATCAGATTGCATTTCAGATCGTAAAATGTCGCAGCGTGATATTACAAGATAATCCAGTACTAAATTTTGCCGGCCAATGGACACTACAAAATCAGCGTATCTGCATTTTCTATCAGATTGATCAACAGATTTGTCGTAGTGAACGCTTGATCTGAAAATCGCGCGTAGAGTGAAATAAACATGATATGAAATGGACGACATTCTCTGAAATATTCAATAAAAAGAAGAGCCAGTGAGAATCCAAATTTGAGTACTGGTGTGTTAAAAATAAATCGTATCAAGCACCAAAAGCCACGTATCATGAAATTTCGATCTTGCTTTAGACTTTTATCAAATATAACAAGAAAATTTATAACCATCGCGAAGAACTGGAGAAAGTTACATCATCATGATTAATTAGAATATTCTACATTGTTTTCTAGAAATTAAACCACACGCCGTGAAGTGTAAAATTCTGAGCTTTCGAGTCCTATTTCGTTTCATATTTCGCTTCACAGTTCACTGGTTGAAGAAACACACGGTCACATATTGCGTTGTCGAGGTGGATTTCTGGTTTTATCCGCATCGTTAAACAGTGCTCGCGAAAGAAATGGAAAGTGAGAATCGATAGACTCTCCCCCAACGCAACGCCAAATGCGAGGGATGATTGGCCGTCGTGCAAAAAAAGACCGAAAAAAAGGGAAACACATCACCAAGTCGCCGGCGTATTTATCGTAAGTTCGTCGATCGACATGGTGTTAATTCCACCTGTCCTTCGTTTCAGGTTTCCCTCATGACGATAACCTATCCTATCGCCGCTAATGGCGGACATTATTGCGAGCGATCGCGGCAACTTCGGAAACTTATCCTTATATAAGCCACCCCCGCCAGCAGCAACCACCCGTTCTACCTGACGGTATATCGAACGTCAATGCGTACTTATCTACGCTCGTGTCGGTTCTTACCTACATGCTGCTATGTGCGTGTGACATCCTCGTACACGCACTGGCACGCGTTGTCACATACACTCACTTGCGCGCATACACACACACACACGCGCGCGCACGCAGATATATGTATATAGTTGCTCAAGTAGAAGTGACGCTTCTGGACGTAGACGCGTATCGATTATAAGTGAAACGGAGGACAATCGACAGGTAGCCGTCCCCGATAAATAAACTAACGAGTAAAAACGTGCAAGTTTACCGCGTGCGTCAAGGATCTTCGATTTTACGCTACTGCGATGAGTCACGGGGTGATACGAGGCGTCAGAGGAATGTAGTTAATTTCATTAAATCGTACAAAAATATCCTCCAATCGACATTCGCTACAGTCGCATCTGCCGGTGCAGCCGGATACGACCGCAAATAACAACGAAAAAGCAATAATTTCTGGAGAAATTAAATTTATCCGAGAGTACAGTCAAAACCAGCAAGACAGGAAACACGGGCATCAGGAACGAGCGCCCGTGTCGTTGTCGGAGGTAGGAATTTTGCAAAATTGAAGTCGCTGCTTCTCAATTAACCCCGGTGTGCGGAAAAAAAGAGACGACGCCTCGGCGAGAAAAAACAATTGATACGATCTCGTTCACGTAGCTCGTTGCATCGCGCTCGGTGCGAACGCATTCGGCTTTAAAATCGTCCCACTCCGCCGTCCCTCTTTGATCGGCTTTCTCTTTCTCTCCCTGCGGCGGCAGTCTACCGCTCTCTATATTCCCTCGCGCACACCCATCCACGTGAACCCCCGTGGAACACGTGGATAGGTTTCGAGTGCTCACGATTCATCGCGATTGATTGCGGCACAGTGGCAACATGACGATTGCCGTACGTTCTATTCGCCGGGATAATTTTTTGCCGCCGGTAGCGCCACTCGATTCTTCCAACATCCCGGATTCGTCCTCGTTATCGAGGTGGAAAAACAAGACGCCGCGGTCGTGCGCTCTGTAATTATTATCGTGCAAATCGATGACGCATTAATGAGGGGATGGATGTGCCTCGCTATACATCGCTACAGGCGACATCATGAATATGAGTCGCAAGTTTTTTCACCCCGCGAACTATACTGAAATTTTTCCCATAATTGTCATTGATGTATATCTCCGAAGGTTCTCTAATTTTTACAAGATCGCTATTTTTACTTTCAACGAACTGGGAGAATTACCACGGTTAATTTATACGGTTAAAGTTGCATACGACGACTCTGAAGGAGGTGATATAATCTATCGGCTATATGAAGCAAAATTTTTCGCAAAATTATATATATTCCGCTAACAAAGAGAAGAGACTCGTGATAAATCGTGTTCACTATCGCACTGAACTTCGGAAAATTGAGTGTCGAAGCGACAGAATGGTCGATGACATATATCATAAATTATTACCGATTCTCGATAATTGGATGACAATTCAACCAATGTGATCGATCCAATTGAAGTTTATACCTAATTTAATCCGCAGTAATTACATCCAGACTCGCCAAGATTTAAAGTTATCCTCTCCTAAGCGTTCGCTATTGATTTCCGTATATATTCCCGATAAAATTAATAAAGAGCTTCTGTGGTAAGCTCCTTACTAGGTTCGGTCCCAGATAAACGATGCCCGAAGTGAATCGCACGGAGGAGGGGAGAGCTCGTAAATGTGATTCTATATTTGCGTCGATGATAATGTAGTTACGTTCCATCTCCATTTAATCGTTTCGAGTCGATTTCCTGATGAACGATGCGAGAGTACTCGACAATATTTCAGGAAGTAGCAATTCCCGTGATTTATATCGCGCGACGCCTTCCTTAACGCGGGGGATTTTATCGCCCGCTGTCGTTCAATAAACATAACGAGCGCGAGAGACTTCGCCTCAAGAAATATTCACGTTTAAGGTCTTAAAATTGATTATTCGTGTAAATCTATCTTTCGATTTGTACATTCCACGGAAGCATGTGTGATTTTACAAAGTACTCAATGAAAATTATATTGTCATTTTCAGATCAGCCAACTGGTCGAGGAGGTGTCTAGACTACAGCAGAGCCTGCAACGCCTTCAGGAGACAAGCGCGCAGGCAACGGCGCGGCTCGAAGAGGAACTCGAAGCGCGTAGGCAGCACATCAGCAGACTCGAGAGCAAATTGGAACGGCAGAGGGATTATGACGACCTGAAGCGCGAAATCAATGTACTAAGGTCAGTCGACCTTTCGCAGATACCAACCGGCGAACCTGGCAAGAGTTTAGAACACCTTCTTATGGAACGTAGCAAGGCGTTGCAACAAGCCGAGAACTTGAAACCATCCAATACATCCGATGTACTCGGTAAGTGAACCCAATTTGATACTTCAACTGAAATCGTTATACGACGCATCTAGCGCTTTAAGATACTAAAGAAAATATTTGAAAAAAAAATAGAACGCGTAACTCATATCGTAACATGTGCAATTGTTGCAATGTAACTGCGTGAAACTGCCGATGTTCATAGCAAAGATCGTAATTTTGAAAGTAAGATATCAGAAGACGTATTGTATCTTAAACTATGAACTGCAATAGTAAATTGATTCGTAATTTTCGTACATTTGTAACGAAAAAAAAAAAAATGAAAATTTAGACATAATGTTTACATACGAAGTGGAACGTATGATCGTATTAGGAAGTTGTTCCGAACTAAAGAAGTAGAACTTGGTTAAGAATGGAAAAAGGAAGTAACGAGGTGTCAGTAGGCCGGTCACACCTCTGTGATCTCGCTTCTGATTCTTGCACTGCCGCTCTGATCTTCGGTCCCCGACTCTCTCTCTTCGAGGCTCCGTCAACGGGCTTTATCATCGAGTAACAATGAAAAGGACACGAGTCACGCAACGCGGACGCAAGAACGCTTCTATAGAATAAACGAGGGATGACTGAAGGAGCTTATTGGAAAAGAGAACAACAAAAATAACCCTGCTTGCCATTGTGTTCGCACTTTTCTTCGACTCTCTATCTCTCGTCTGTCTTTCTCTGCCTCTTTTACTCTCTTCTCCCTGAGATCTTTCTTTATCTTTCTCACTATTCCTCTATATTTCTTTCTCTCTGCTCTACTACTTTTCTGTTTGTACCTCTCTCTCTATCTCTCTCTCTCTCTCTCTCTCTCTCTATCATATACATACTTCATTTCCCTGAATTTTCGCTGCTTAGGCTGCACTTTTTCGAGCCATTCTCTCGCTGATACGTATATTAACATACATTCGTGGAAGGTACTAACTAACGCAATCGAAAACACAACTTACCTACAGGCCCACCTCACTCCACGGGCCCGCCTCATCACTCACCGAATCCTCCAAATATCCTCCTTCCTCTCTTACCCACGTAGAGGGTCTCTTTAAACCACCCCAGTTTCCCCTCTACCGCCATCCGCACACTGGGAAACGCAAACCTCGTGCACGCAAATTTGTGAACGATATTCGCAATATTTGCCCAATTCAGGCCATTGTTTCGAAGACAAAGTTCATTGTAAATCGATCCAAACTGATAGAGAGAGCACACGATAAGTTGGAATGAAAAAGAGACATCCTATACACGCCAGAGAGCCAGAGAGATACTGCAACATACCACCCTTTCTGAATCAAACCGACCGTACCCACCCTTCTACGTCGTCGTCGTGATCCTGTCTTCTCGATCCCCACTCCACTATCTCCTCCAACCATGACGGGTTAAGAGCACCGTTTCTACACGGCAAATGTCCAAACGTTAAACATTCTCCATACATCGAAACCACGTAATAACAAAACGGAACCCTTTTTTTTGAGTTCGGCTCGATTTAAAAGAAAAAAAAAAAACCCCCCACAGCATTTCCCATAGTCACATAGAGCGTTCTGTATATTTTGTTTTCAATCCTGCGATGCTCCACACATCCTGGCGTCTGTGACAGCTGAGTCGCGACACGAAGATACCTTATTCGACGCGACAGTAGGGCGATTTCTCGAATCCACACGCGTCATCGCGATCAACGTTCGAAGCGCGAGATGGACGTATCCATACGCATAATTTCTTTCGGAACGCTCGACAACGTCTCCGCACAGTCTTCCTCTCGTTGGCGTCCACGTCGTTCCTCGTTTGTACACTCAAGCGTGGACTGTGACCCGACGAAGCGTCGAAAAAGAGAGTCTCGGTCATTCGTCGTCCCGGAAGATGATCAAGAGTGACGATAAATCATCATTCGGTTTCATACGTCGAAAGAGACAGCGCGTACGGACCGGCGATCAGAACGAGAACAGCAATCCCGATCTTCATCTTCGCGAGTCGAAGTTAGGTTGAGGTATCATGTACGCGTGAGATCGTGCTGACGGGCTCCCTTGTGTTTTTGGTGGTTGCAGGTGGATTATCGTCACCCCTGCAGCGCGCCTCGACCGCCTCGCCTCACGGGGTCGGAGGTGTGCCACCTACGTCCCATGTGTCCTCCCAACAACCACCGCCACCGCCCCTGGCAGTTTCTCTCCCTCCACGTTCCACCCCGACGCCCTCTTCGGCCACTTCGACGACTTCGAGTCTCCTCTTCCCGCACTCTCTCCAAAACGTCGAGACCTTCGGCTCCTTCCTCGGTGAAGAAATCGTCGCCAATTGGAGGCGGACGTTGGAAAAGTCTTTCATAAATCAGCCGCAGCAGCAGCAGCAGCAACAGCAGCAGCAGCAATCATCGCAGCAACAACCGCAGCAGCAGCAACAGCCGTCTCAATTGAGCCAGTTGGCTCAGCAGCAACAGCAGTTGCAGCAAACTCAGCCGCACATGGGCTTGCATCCGCCGACAACGCCCAGTAGTCTAAATCATCTTCCATCACCGACGGATCCGTCGTCCACTTCGAATACTCCGGCGAAGTCGAACACGCCGATCGGCACGACGCCTCTAGGAAGTCTAGACATCGCTGAAAAGGCGCCGACGCCGGTGTCAGGACACGAAACACCAGCACCACCGACTCCATCCTCCACAACCGCCTTAACATCGCCGCCGAGCTTTCAGCCGCCAACGTCGATGGTAGAAAGTAGTACCCCCTCGGCTTCTGTCAACGGCGGCGGCCTGACACCCGGTGTGCCCAGTGCGCCGCCTCCCAAGAGTCCGGCCGATCAAGAATCATGTCATAACAATAATAACAGCCATCATCTGGCGAACAACAACATCGGCAGCCTGAGCGTTCTCGACACGCTGAAGAGTCCGTTTCGCTTCGACGACCGAACGCATCCCTTCCGATTTGGCGACGAGTTCGGGGCCGCCGGTATGGCCGGTCGGCTGGGCGAGTCACTCATTCCAAAGGGCGATCCCATGGAGGCGAGGCTGCAGGAGATGCTGCGCTACAATATGGACAAGTACGCCTCGCAAAATCTCGATACTCTTCACATAGCCAGGCGAGTGCGCGAATTACTGTCGATACACAATATCGGACAGAGGTTGTTCGCCAAGTACGTTCTCGGGTTGAGTCAAGGCACTGTCAGCGAATTGCTCAGTAAACCCAAGCCTTGGGACAAGCTGACCGAAAAGGGCCGCGACAGTTATCGGAAGATGCACGGCTGGGCTTGCGACGACAACGCCGTGCTGCTGCTCAAATCCCTGATCCCCAAGAAAGGTGAGTACCGATCATCGGTTCCAGCTCTCTCGTTCTCTCTTTCTTTCTCTCTCTCTCTCTCTCTCTCTCTCTCTCTTTCTTTCTCTCCGTTTCTCTGTTCTTCTCTCGTTCACTCTCTCTTACTTTCCGTTTCTCTTTAATTTATTTATTTTCTTTTTACTTCATCCATTTCGTACAACATCTCTCGACGCGCCTCTGCGTAACGTCCGACACGACGAAGGCTGGATCACCTGACGTCTCGATGTCCATGAAGACGGACGAGACATCGTAATTACACACGCCGCTACATTGTAGCGAATACCTGTGGCAATCGCGATTAATTTCGCTTCTTTCCACGCCCATAAGCGCGATAAACCGCATTTATGGTAAAGTTCAGCATGACGGTTTGAGGATGCGCGATCGAATATTTGCTATCTTAAGTGTGTAATTACGTTGAATCATTCATCCTGAGTCGTTGAAAACACCAAAGGGCAATGATTCCTATAGTGAGTCGCTATAACCACGAGACACACATTTTCTTGCCTTCGCCGTCGATGACCTATCGATTGACTTGACTCTCGAAAATCTTCCGCCTCGCACTGCCAATAATCCATCTCGCCGAATCACTAACTATGAGCTGTCAGCTAACCTTTCGGTCGCCTAACGTGGGGCTCGATGGTACTTCCGTTTTGCTCTAATTGCACCGCGGGAAAGGAACGCTCGTGTCAGAATGGCATCCCTCTGTACACATGAAATGAGATCAGGGAGATAAGTATGCGTTGGTGACATCGTGAGCTTTCACTATATCTGAGTTGGAAAGAGCAGGTGAATTCTGCACATCATCGGTAGAAATCTATCCCGACCACCTTCTGCGATAAAACTACACAAATACCAGAATGTTGACGAAGAGTCGTATACCATACAACGACGGTGATTACTTGGTTGACGAATAACTCGTTCCCGTTGAATGCAACCAAATCAATTTTGTCTGGGAAATCCAACCGAACTTTTTTAACCGACACACGATAATAAAATAATTATTCGCGAACGATTTATGTATTTGTAATTGTGTGACAGAAAATACTTGGCTGCATCAGCGTGTCGTGCTGTTAGCGAAGGCGCACATTCTATTCGGTATCTGATGCAAAAACGCATACGCTGTATCCAAGCTTGAACATCCATAGTCTTAATTAAATTACGCAGCTCGTTGGCATACCTTGCCCGTTATCGATTGTATGCTGCGTTTGGCAGCCATATTGTTTAGACTAATAGCTCCTGGGAATAGGAAGCCCTGGATGAGTGCTGGGTAGGGGTGAGATGTATAAAGGGCTCCGGTGTATAGAGATGGGGGGACGAGAGGAGAAAGGAAAGCGAGATTTGACGAAGAACATAGAAATCCTAAACGCACCGGTCTGTACTTATTGCGGTAACCAATTTGCACTTTTCTGATTGTCGCGAAATTGCTAGATTACGCCGAGTGAGCTAGGTTTTATCTTAGCATCGATGTGAATACCAGTACTGTCAGCAGAAACCAGGCGCTTCTGGGTATTCGAACTCGCGAATGCTACTAGAAATAACCCGAAATAACGAAGATGGCCGAATATCCGAAATCAATAATATCGCAGATAGAATTCAGGTAATATCGACCTGTCATTTTTTATTAATTTCTGCAGAAACTGATTTTGTCATTTATCAACATACACACGTGTACATTGTTACAATACTCGAACATCCATGCCGTTTCCTCAATAATAAACGAAACAATAGTTACAAGTGAAACATTGTAGCGAAATTTTCTTTACGATTCTTTCGTTTTATCACGCGTTCCCATCGCAGCGAATCGGAGACGCGTATTATAATATCACAGGTATCACGGCAGTACAGTGCGCGCCTTCCGTTTTTTTGTAAATATTAATATCAATTGCACAGGATGTTGACTCAATGCCATCATTTTCCCTTCACGTCCGGTGATGAAATAAAACGTATATAAAATCCAGTTGGGTCACGAGGCGCGTCCTGCATCAATGGATTGTCGGTTTCCGTCGGACCTCTGGTAACAACAATCACGAAACATTACAGCGGATAGGAGGGAGTGTATGCAGGAGAGGGAGAGACAGAAGAGCAACCGAAATGAAGGGTTAGGACGGCACGAGGGGTGGCAGGAGGGAACTGGTGACAAAAACTTAGGGGGTCGTAACATCTCTCAATGCACCGACCGTAAAATTATAGGGGTGTGTGCGTGTATCATCCCGTGGCGTGAGCACGGCAATAAATCAGAACTGCAGGAACTGCACATGCAGTCGTTGAAAATGTTTAAGCACGCCATCGAAGATAAGAAAACGCGAGGAGAAATGCCGACACTGTTAATCGTCTCTTTCGAACGCAATTTTTCCCGCCGCTGTTTCAGAATTCTAAACTGAAATACTGTGATTTAGCACTCATGCCCGAATAAGATGCATCTGATTGATCTGATTGAATTTTATTAGCTCCCGCATTAGAGAAAAGGATGACATCAAGTCGATCTGTGCGCACTTTCGTGTATTAGTCAACTGAAACATATCGCGCTAATATACAAAGTATCTGCCACTTACTTCGTGTGCATTTGTTAACAACTGCTACTGTCGTAAATCAAGTTTCCTTTCAGGCTCGGAAGCGGCTACAATTACTCGGATATTTATTGTTCGTCTTGAAAGTATAACATCACCGGGAGTTCTTTAATTGTCGAATTAATCATTCACCGTTTGTTCGTGTGAATCATGGCGCGCGAGAGCTCCTTGTGATTGTAATGGGAAGAATCCGTCGCGGTTCAATAGCATAAATATACTTACAGCAATGTTTGAAACTTCTATAATCAAGGCATGTGATTTATGGGCAAAAATCGGTGGCTTTATATAGCTTGAAAGGCGCCGCCCGGCTTTGGTGGCGGCGTCGGTTAAGATAAGTTTGCGTCTGGCTAAATACCTGATCTAACGACTCATCGCGCTGTTATATAGACAGGCGCAGGCGGCGCAATACCAACCTGTCGTTGAAAGCTTTATTGTGATTTATGAATCGACTTTGTGGTCACCTTATTTATCACTGGCGCGTCCGCGAAAATTATCACAATGAACCATTGATCTCGGATCGAGATCGTTCCATTCCGCTGCGCGATGCTGCTCGTCGCGGGGAACACTACCCAGTATTCGTCACGTTAATTTCACGTTACAAGAATCGTCACACGCAACGAGCGAGAGAGTTCTATCGGTTGTAGCCTACGAGACATCATTAACGCGATATTTCCCGACCCTTCGCGCCTATTTATACGAGCGTGATATTTTTCGCGAAAATTTACGCCCGTGCGTGGCCGCTGTAAAACGCTGACAATGAATTCGCTCGCGTGTAGTTCAAGGTGAGACGATTTGGATCCAGTTAACGTCGCCAGGCTCCTCGGGTTCCGGTGGCCTAAATCACGGCGCGCTTTATAAATTACGCAAACGTCCCTCGCACGGCCGGCCGCCTAGGAGCAGGCGCAAAAATCGCGCATTCGTGGAAACTGCTAATCCTACGACAAACGTATCTGGATCTTGGCCCACTATTCAACGCGGCACGTCCAGGCGGTTTATTATTGCTCGCGGAACGTTACAACACAATTGATCTAAGCGCGCACAAAGAGCAACGCGCGGTGAGATTACCGTAATAAACATAGTTGGTCTAGCTCCAAGTCAGTTTATTGCAGAATTTTGTTCCCGAAGCCGCGAAAGTGCGGGCGCGCGCGATCCGCCGGATTCTCATCGGGGACTTTCCGCGGAGCGACGACCGTCATCAACGAAAATCGTGGTTACGATGATTTGCAACCGCGGCGAGGAACGTTACGGGCCGTATAACTGCGTATAACTGCGATTTCCATGCGAACGACGGGACGTTTACGCTTTTATAACTGATATAATTATTGTATTTTATGGAGGAGCCATGATTATGGAGATGTTTTTTCTTTGTTCTTTTCACCATCCGTGAGCGACACTTACAAGTAACTAATACAAAGTATACATAGAAAACGATAGCACGCGCTTCTTAAACTGAGAAGAGTGTACGCTTGACAACCGCGGCTATAAAAGTATCTCATTTGCGTACGTTGACCTGATTCGAAGAAGATAACACTATCGAAGTGTGACAGAGCGATTTCAAAACTCGCGGCGGTCTTTATATCAAGCAGGCTACACACGCACATAGACACGCATGAAAGAAGAGTGTTGAACAAAAATTACGCGACTGAGAAGATTATTGAAAAAGTGATTACCGATTGACTAGGCAATTTATAGATTTTTGCAGAAAAATTGCCATTGAGTCGAGAAATAATGTTTCCAAAATTGAATAAATATTGAGATAATTTTTAATCGTATAATCTTAAAAGAAACTTTCATTTCAAAATCTATGTAAATTGCTGTATTATGTATTCTTTTTTTGTATATACATGATGATACATTCTTTTTATATATAGAGGGAAAAAGAGAAAGAAATTAAAATATCGTACTATGACAAAATTTTAATAACTACAAGTTGAGAGAATTATTATCTCTCACATACCTTTAAAGTGTTTATATTAGATTGAAAATTTTACATACAAGATATCTCAGAATAAACATCTGAAAAGTTATTTAATGTCTTATCGAGCGAAAATTGACCAATGAGAGACGGTCGGAGCGTAGTACACGCTGGACCGTCTTGGCATCCGGTGGTTCAGCGTGTACACTACGACCGTTTCTCATTAGTCGAATCTCGTTCGATAAATAACTGGATAATTGAAGAACGGTGCGTTATTCAAATTTTTACAGGAGGGAAAAGTTGCTCTGTTTTGGTCCAGGAGCGTTATAATATACCCTTAGACTATCATTATGATGCACCTTGTACATAACGCCGATTTCGAATTCCACTGATAGTCTCTGTTGAGGCCGGAGCTGGTTTAATTCGTGAGAAGGAATGGTTCTTAGCCGCGAACGCACCCGATTCTTCTTTAATTGCCTGGATGCTGGAGAGAAGGAACCGACGACGATGCCTCGCGGCTACGAACGTCTCATATCTCACCGTCAATTAAACGAACCGTACGCAACAACGTACTTCCACTCTCGCAAAGGCGGCGAGGAAAATACGCCTCGTATACAGGTGTGCGCACAGGTGCACACAGACAGCTGCAAAGCTGCAGCACGCGCGTCTGTATTCCGCGCGAACGAGTTTCGTTCATTAGAGCCAGCACTTCGCCTTATGTGCCGATTTTATCAGATTTTCTCCACGCTGCTCGTATCCCTCTACATCTTGACGCCTTGCCACGGCGAGTACGTTATACGCGCACGAGCTGCCCGGAGTTTTCGCATTCAAACGCGTCCTCGTCTTTAACAACGAGGTGAACGAGGTGGGGAGGTGCGCGATCATGCTCACCGATAACACCCGGATTCCCGTGGGAGTTGATATTTCAGGCCGAATATTTACAGAAACAACCGTGCGACGTCGCATTTTGACGTCCCACATTTCATACTTCGGGAATTTCGTTATATGCAGTAAATATTGATTAATTGCCATTAATATTATTAATATCACAGTGCATGGTTCTACCTAATTACCTGACTATTTGAGACATTTCCCGGGTACCCGCGATTATTGTGAAAATGACTTGGATACTCAAAGACCGTGATTAGAGTACGTGTGTATATACATAGTGTTTTATAAAAATAAATTTCAATAAAAAGAAAAACGAAATAAGCTGATACATCCTGGTAGAAAATTCATGCATTTTTTTTAAGCAGTTACTGGACAGTTAAATTAACCTATGTTTAATAAGAGAGGAATCAAACCTACTTGGAATTCTAATCAAGATGTAACGCTTTTCCTGCAGTTGTTATGCACAAATCCGCAGTTAATGCGCAAAATCTGAATCCATTTGAATGAAAATCATTGAATGAACGCAGAAGAATAAACGGACAAAAAACTATTCAACTAGTACTAGATAGACAATATACAACTGGACAGGTATTTCCGCAAGCTACGCATATTTTTACCGAGGAAACTGCTTCGACCGTTTAATAAAACTCTATCGAGCTCTTGCGCATCTTCTACGCGGTATTGTTAGAACTAATGAGAATACGTGAATACTCGACTAGTAACCGGACGGTTATCTGGGAAAACATTTCTACCAGGGCGAAGTTAGCTGTTATAAAAATGGATAATAGACGGTGAATAAGTGTTAGACGAATATTACTCGTAATTTTTCGTTCCGGGTGATCTCGCTCACTTCTTACTGCTTCGGACAGCGCCTAAATGCTCGGGTAAAATTGGAAAAAATGTGAGTACCGCGGATGAGTGCTCGGATGTGGAAACTGGCCGGGTTCGTCCTGACAGCGCGCCGCGGTTACCACACGCGACGTATGAGCGCGCACTTTCCCCAAATCGCGTGCGATTGCGAGTCGCGACGCGTAGCGTTCGGAAGCGTCGCAACCGCGTAACTCGCGCGCTCGCTCCCGCAACAATCGGGCGAGTTTCTTAAGTCACCGGCACCGGGGAACTCCCACGAAATCGTTCCAGATTTTGTAATCGGGGCCCCATTGTCGACGTTTCTCCCTTATATCGCGCCGCGTGCGCGCCCGTGTGTGAGCGGGTCGCCTCGCGTCGCGTGCACGTGCATGCGTCGGGACAATTTTACGGCGCGAATATAATTGCCGGCGCGGAGAGGTACGGGTTTCCTTTCCGGCGAAACACGCACGAGTACGCGTACGCGAACATTTTCTTCTCTCGTCGTCGCCCATTGTGCGAGCGGCCGCGATTGTTCTCTCTTTCGTCGATTCCCTGTAACCGGTCTTTGATGCCGCGACGCGATCAGGACGCACGCCGACCGTGACGTTTCACCATCCGCAGGTGAGACGAAGGTGCCGGCAGCAACGAGCGCTCAACGGCGAGGAAAAGTATGGATTTAGTGCGCAAAGCTCGTAACAATGCGCGACGCGTCGCGACGTTGCATAAGCAGCCGGGCCATTTTCCAAGCGACTTATCCTACCATCGAGATTTCCCGTACCGTGGGAAACGAGCGAATCACATTCGGCCGATCGAAATAGCTGCGAGATGAAAAGCTTTGATCAGCTCCGACGGAGGATACGCGCATCCTCGTGCTGCATTTTTCGCCGCAACCGTTATATAAATGTCACTTCCGTAGTCACGGTTATTCTCCGAAAAGTTTACTCAACACATCCAAATTAGATTTCATCGCGAGCTCGCAAACGGTCGCGAGTACGCGTACCTGTCACGGAACGCCTAAGACGAGGCGGCAAACGCTTGAAAAATAGCACGCGGCTTGTCTCGCGATTGAGCAAACCTGTGTGTGGAAAAATGCTTCTTAATTGAGAGAAACTATGAATTTACAGCAATACTCTTCTTTGTGCAACTCGATGAGAATGTCTGCCGATATAAATGACATGCGGGCGATTGTGTTCATCGCCCGTGTGCCACACTGTGTGTATCGCCCGTGATCGCGTCCGTCCGATAATATTTGCGTTGCTCGGCTACTTATTCTATATTTCCTATGAGAAAGCCGCGGGAAGATTGCCGGCTTTCGAACATATAATCAACCGACGCACACGATTCCACGCACGATGTGCTCGGCAAGGTTTCCCACGTGATCCCGTCCAAGTACCCGCGGAAAGGAAGATGTCAGTGGCGCAAGTAACTCATCCTCCCACCGTCGACGGTTCGCAACGTGTCTAAAATATCCCGTCACATGGCGACACTCGAGCTGAGCGACAATAAAATACAAATTTACGACACTTATCTGCGGGAGAGATCGTCCCGACGCATTTTGTTCCTAATTGCAGGTGCCAGAAGGGGACGATTTCATGTCGATAGCCTTGATATCCAGTCCCGTCTTACAAATATTTCATCAACAGCGTTGATTGCGATCGATTCAGAATGCGCGTAAATCTGCGGGAGAGAACGGTTCTGCGTGTCTCTCTGGACGCGAAGACAGCGGGATCGCACAAGTGCGAGTTTGTTGGCAGGAATTCAAACGTTGCGACAATGCGCCATCGCAGGCGTGCGTATACCTCGTCGTTCTTACTTCTGCATTCCCGATCTCACTCGAGCCACCCGCTCGATCGTCAATTACGCGAACGTTTGAATGCAAACGTCGGTTTAATCAGCGGACTTGTCCATTTCTTCGCTCGGCGCGATTATCTGTCAGCGTTATTAAAACGTAATTAGATAGAATGCGATTTGTACGGATTACGTCGGGAAGGAAGTTAAACTTCCCGGGGAACGTGCCGATACGAGGGGAGTCCACGAAGGAGGGACATTATTCTCCGGCTAATCCGGCACACGGGATCGCTTGCACTACCAACAATAATCACGCTTACGCGTGCAATGATATAAGATGCAGTTGCATTGACTTCCGGATCGCCTTCGGCAAGTGCCATCTCGCAATCGTGAAAATGTACGAAGTAGAATCCACGAGCGTATCTAAGCAAGGTACGTCAGATCTTGATGGATAAAACGAGTCGAGAGATTATTTCGTTCGTGATCGAAATTCACGGCGCGCCACGGTTCTTCGCCGAGTCATTCCCGCATGCGGATTCGCGTGTGAAGCTCGCGCGAGAGCAATCAAAGATATGATCGATGGTTGGTTCGTCTGAATCTTGCAGTTGATTGGTCAATTAGACGGGAAACACGTAGGAGGACTACTCTCCTGCCGATGTACAGGGGAAAGACCGCAAGAGAGAGGGTCCAGGAGAGGATATTTTAATTATCGTCGTCGAGTATACTTCGCCTTCGGGTTCAGTCCGCAGTTATCGATTGCGCATGGTATTAATTGCTTACGAGCGTATCATCTTCCAAATATGTTTCGCTACTTTCTCTCTCTCTCCCTCTCTTTCTTTCCCTCTCTCTCTCTCTCTATGCAAACTGTCTCATCCAGACCCTCTTCGCTAGAAAGTGAATGTCGCTCGAAAGTCGGAATTTGAGATTTTTCCCAAATTCGTGTCAGATTATCGCTCATATATGAATAATAAATTGTACAGCGATTCAACATGGTACCAGAAGGCTAAACGTCTCTTTGAATACAGCAATGATTCGACGTTTCTACGAGAGGAAAATAATGCGAGAAGTTAAAAAGTCGCTGCGATAGGCGCGAAACAAGACGCGTCGAGAATCACATTTGTCTCTTACATTTATGTTTGTTCTTGCATATTTTTTTGTTTATATTCCTAAGACCAAACTGAGTAAGAATACACCACAAGTTGTGCCTCACCCGTAGAGTATGTTTCAGGCAAGGAGCAGGGAATGCCAGCATTCGCACGTGGACCACAGGATAGTGGTCCGCCAGAAATGAGTGACGAAAGACTGGCTCATATACTGTCGGAGTCGGGCCATTTGCAAATGAGAAGTGAGCACGAGGTATCAAACGACGCGGACAGTAAGAGTCCGAGTAGGATCGGTTGCCCGAGTCCGTTCAGCAAAGACAGATTGGATAGTCAAAACAGGAGATTAAAGAAGTACGAAAACGACGACATTCCCCAGGAGAAGGTGGTGAGAATCTACCAGGAGGAACTGGCTAAGCTGATGGGTAGAAGAGTGGAGGATCTTCGTCCGCGAGAGTTCCCTCCTAGGTAAGGTCACGATTGTGAGGTTTGATTGTTGAAGTTTACATCAAGTTCATTACCCGGGCGTTGCCCTAAGATTTTTGGCACCTGGTACTCGGTTATTTCGAGTGGTGCCCGAGTACCCGAATAACATTCGCAGATTTGAGTTACGGGTAAATACTCGGGTGTCCTGATACAAAAGCCTGCTCGATTTGTACTAATAGCGTTGTTACACACATGTTTCAATTAACACCGAATCCGTACAGTCGCTGCAATCTAAAAAATCTTATTAAATGTAAGTAAAGTTACACCACCGCGATTGATTATTATTGAGGACAGCACACGACTTCGATTGATCGTAGTGCGATCTTTCCGCATTTTTTCAGTGGCGCCCAAGGCGGTCTTCAAGGTATCGAACGCACCCAAGAAGACATTCGAATGGCATTGGATGCTTATCACCGTGAGCTTCAAAAATTGAACGCCGCACCAGGACAGAATCCTTCCGGAATCACCGGCCTGCCAGGCCTACCAGGACTTCCAGGCTTGCTGGCGCTTCAGCAACAAGCTCTCCAGCAACATCACTTGGCCGCAAACGGCGGCGGTGTTCAGGACCTCAGCTTAGGCAAAGTGGATCCGCGTAATAAAATGATAAACGGCGTATCGGAAGAGGAGAAGGAAAAGATGGAGGAGGCGATGAGACACGCCGGGAGTGCTTTCTCCTTGGTGAGACCGAAGCAGGAATCGACGGGTCCTCAATCGACACCCGGTGGTTCCAGCGCGAGTTCGCCACTGGGCAATTCCATACTTCCCCCAGCGATGACACCTAACGAGGAGTTCTCCGGTGCGGCGGCGGCCAGCCCTCTTCAGAGGATGGCTTCCATCACCAACAGTCTGATAAGTCAACCGTCCACGCCAACTCACCACTCGGCTAACCAAAGGCCGCTCAAAGCTGTGCTTCCGCCGATCACGCAACAACAATTCGACATGTATAATAATCTTAATACCGAAGACATCGTGAAGAGAGTAAGACAATTAGTTAAGCGCACATTGAATTCCAATCGTAAACAATTGATCACTTGCGTTCAAGTCTAATTTCGACTATCTGCTTGCAATGTATAGGTGAAGGAACAGCTATCCCAGTATTCGATCTCCCAACGACTATTCGGCGAGTCGGTATTGGGTCTGTCTCAGGGATCGGTATCAGATCTTCTCGCGCGTCCCAAACCGTGGCACATGTTGACTCAGAAAGGTCGCGAGCCCTTCATCCGAATGAAAATGTTCCTGGAGGATGACAACGCGGTACACAAACTGGTCGCCAGCCAGTACAAGATCGCTCCGGAGAAGTTAATGAGGACCGGCGGCTACGGCGGCCTGCCTCGTAAGTTTAACTCAGGTCAATATAGATGTTTTGTTACTTTATTATATTAACGTAGTTCGGGAGCTCTGTTATGCCCGTCGAGCACGACGTCATCATGATGTATACTTTCTTGCGACAAAAAGTCATTCCAAGCGAGCATGACATCTTTTGCAACATATAGTAGCAGATTGTTTATTTTATTATAGAGAGAATCGCGAGGGTTGCACCGATCTCCACACACATACATACGTGTGTGTGTGTGTGTGTATATATATACACGATAGAAATTAAATTGCATTTTGACGTCCGTAGAAGAGGAGCTTTCGGACTATCAAATTTCAGTTCTACCAGCTGAATTATCTTATCCGAATTCCTCGTTGTTACAGCGTGTGGAACGCCTATGAAACCGATGCCACCAACGAAACTTGTCCAAGAACAACTTCAAAACGCGGCGAAAGCGCAAGCCGCCGCACAGGCAGCTGCGCAAGCAGCGGCACAACATCAACAGGAAAATCAGATGCAGCTTGGACCGCCTCAGCAGAGTCCACAGCATCCGCAACATCCGCAGCCACCACCGCCAATGATGTTGACCCCGCCCGGTCCCCATCATCCGCATACTCAACTCAGTATGCAGGAACTGCAGAAGAAGCAGCAACAGCAGCAGCAACAAATGTCGCTGCACTCGCCGCATCATCAAATGGCGCCGTCGCCTCTTCGAGGTCTTCATCCGCATATTTCACCAAGTGTGTACGAGATGGCCGCCCTCACGCAAGATCTCGACACGCAGACGATCACCACAAAAATCAAGGAAGCATTGCTGGCGAACAACATCGGCCAGAAGATTTTCGGTGAAGCGGTTCTCGGTCTGTCGCAGGGTTCGGTCAGTGAACTGTTGAGCAAACCCAAACCGTGGCATATGCTCAGCATAAAGGGCCGAGAACCTTTCATCAGAATGCAACTTTGGCTGTCAGACGCGCACAACGTCGACCGGCTGCAGGCGTTGAAGAACGAACGACGAGAAGCGAACAAAAGACGACGCAGTAGTGGCCCCGGTCACGATAACAGTTCCGATACTTCGAGCAACGACACCGCCGAATTTTATCACGCGGCCTCACCCGGCCCGGGACCGGCCTCCGCGAAGAAGCAGCGCGTGCTTTTCTCGGAGGAGCAGAAGGAAGCTCTGAGACTTGCTTTCGCCCTTGATCCGTATCCCAACGTGGCCACCATTGAATTCCTCGCCGGTGAACTTGCCTTGTCCTCGAGGACGATAACGAACTGGTTTCACAATCATCGAATGCGACTGAAGCAACAGACGCCGCATGGCCAGCCAGAGCCACAATCGCCGCGAGAACCCAGCCAACCATTCGACCCTGTTCAATTCAGATTACTCTTGAACCAAAGACTGCTGGAGATTCAGAAGGAGAGGCTGGGTCTGGGGAATGTACCTTTGCCTTACTCTCCGTACTTTAATCCCAATCTAGCGACCTTGGTAGGTAACGCTCTGAAGGAACAATGTTCCGGCCTCGACCTCTCGATGAACGCCCTCAAGAGGGAGCCTAATCAAGAGTTTGAGGATGAGGACGCCGAGGACGCGATGAGTAATTTAGGTAGCGAAGATTCGGACGGGTCAGCCGGTAGTATAAAGAGGGAACCCGCAGAAACGCCGACAGCACCCACCACGGTCAGGTCCAACAGGAGAAAACCCGCAGCTCCGCAGTGGGTGAATCCCGAGTGGCAAGAACCAACGAGAACGGGTGACGAGGTGATCATCAACGGCGTTTGCGTGATGCAGACGGACGATTACGGCGTGAAGAGGGAGGCCGAGGAGACCATAAGGGTCGAACCGACTCCAGTGCAGGACAGATACGAAGAAGACGCCCAGAGCGACGTCTCTTCCGTATCCGGCAACAATGGAGCCGACCGGGATAGTCCGCTGCCAAGTCCAAAGTCCGGTCAGAATAGTCCAGCGACGTCGCCCAGACCGCCGTCGGTGCAGCAGACGCAACAATCCACGGAGGAAAGTCCGAAGGACGTAGTGAAGCACGAGCCGGAAGAAACGTGGGATTACTAGGACAGTTCGAAATGTGAAATTCCATGGAGTTATCCGCAAACTCAGTGCTTCTTCTTCGGACAGAGTCAAAACTGGAGCGAAGTCTCCGACGTGTCCCCGTCAGGGTCACGTCGTTGAAATATGCCAAAACAACGCTTTGTAGAAAAAGGCGGTCCGCGAGGATCACCGGTCTAGTTAAGTTTTAAACGAGGAAACCAGTTATAGGACTCGGACACGTGGGGCCGAGTCCTGCCTACTACGAGGGCATTATCATAGAGAGGCAAACGCGATGTACGGGTCTAAAGAAATTCTTGGAAGGAGTCACCGAGGAGGAAAGGAGAGGTCGAGAGACGACGAGAGCTAGTAGGAGAACAAAACGATCAAAACTGAACAGAGCTCAATCAAAAGAACTCACTTTGTGACGTTTTCTACGCGACAAGTGGTACGAGATAAGTGTCGGTGCGCGCGATTCAAGGGCGAAATCGTATTGTTAGAAGACTATGAAGTACAACGGGGCCGGCTACGGGACGACGATGACGACGACGACCACGACGACGACGGGCTCTCGTTGCAACTCGTTCGAAATTCGAGAGAACCCCGGCTGCTTTCGCTTTCGTATACTTCCCCTCGGTGATGAATGATTGATGCATCATTCCAGAGGTGGGAGACGAACGGACTAGATAATGCGCGGAAAACAGAGGTGGTCCGGGTTCGCCACAGTGCAATCTCCCAGTAACCAATTGTTAGATCGAATTATTATTAATTTTTAACGAAATTAAGCGCGACGAAACGGCCGATTAATAATTATTACATAATTGTGATTCATGTTATTGTTTATACTTGCCTCCCTATTCCCGATAGTGATTAAGCTGTTAATGTTATATACTCCTTCTCCCTTTCTCCCTCTCTCTCTCTCTCTCTCTCTCCATCTATCCCTTTCTCTTCTCTTTCTCCCCGGTTTCGAACTTCTTTATCTCTTTTGGTTAAAAACTCGACGTTTCCCTTTCCCTGTTCTCTTTTCTCTACACTATTCTTGCTACGTCTATTTATAAAACTGCGAGGAGAATGATCACTTAAGACCGTTACCAATGTTATTATTATCACTGCTATTATCACTACGGATTATTTTATTATTATTTTATTATTATTAATATAATATTATTATATAATTACCATTATTAAATATTCTCAGTTATCAAGCGCACTGTCATCGATTACTATTTTTACATTAATATGGCGTGCAGAATGTAAAATATCAAAAAAGAAGTAAATCTATTCGTTTCATGAGACGATTATTTAAATTTCCTTTTTCTATTTGTTCGAGACTATTAGCTGTGCTAAAAGAAAAAAAAATTGGTGATGAATATTTTTGATGATTACAAATATTATTGTATTATTAGACTTATATGTTAATTATTACTATTATCATTGTCATTGTACGAGTATAATCATTATTATTTTATTATTATTATTAGAAAAATTGTCGCGATAACAATGTGGCTTGTAAAGCCAATGTGATAGAGCTTATATTACGATGATGCATAGAGAGAAAGAGCGTACGAATGAAAGACGAAGAGGCACGCCTATTTCATTGAACGAGACGAGAGATTTGCGCAAGCCTAAGTCGACGGATATGCGATTTCTGGCGTCTGTAAATATCTGTACAAAAGAAAGGAGGGAAGAAACCTCGGAGTACGAACACAAAGAACTACATATACATATACACGTACACACACGCGTCTTGTATATTTACTTACTTACCACACTTAATTATATCTATTAGAACGTACGAATATACCCACGCAGACTAACAGCGATACACGTCGCGCCTGCTGAATTTTCACTTGTCGCAGCCAGCGATCGCACATCTTCAGAATAAATTTGCGCATAATAATCAGCAACAAAGACGATGAGGTAAGAAATAGAAGAAAATCTAAGTCCCACAATTCTCTAACTGCTCGTTGCGATCCGTGAAAATGCAGTGCTCGGGCTCTTATAAACGGCGCGAAGAGAGAACACATAATTATGAGACTTTGCCGTAAATTATCGATGCCTAGAAGGGAAGGAAGATGTGTGCAGAAGATATTTCGAGGCGATTCAGCGAGATTCAGTGAGAGAGCGAAAGGATGAGCGAATGGGAAGAACGCGTGTGTGCGTACGTGAGATCAATTTCGTAAGAGAGAGAAAGAGACAGTCCTCGAATTATTACGAATCAAACTAGTATTTATCAGAATAAATTTTAATCTTTGATTAAATTCTAGTCCGCAGTTAAAAGTAAAGGAAAAAAAAGAAAAACGAAAGAAGGAACAAACACACGAATGAGACGAATTGCGCGAGGCAGAGGTGCGAAGAGTTCATGCAGACGATCGCTTTAGAAGGGCATTGCTAAACGAGAGACCAGTGATCACTTGACTCTTCTCTCCCCACTTCCCACCCCCCGATTCTTTTTTAAGTTTTTCATAAATCGTCCCAACAACAGGAGAAGTCGACTATACCGGAGTATCGAATGTATATATTGCTATATTCATGCGATTACATCTCGTATCTTAATGACGCTGATTCGTCTGTCGACGAGTGATCCGAGTCTCACCGAGTAGCCCGACGATCGACGAAGGTACGGATAATCGTGAGACGGACGTGTGATTACAACGAGGATCCATATACTTCGTTGATCGTCCATGACGGATTTTACATCGAAAAGCTTCGATAGGAAAAGCTTCGGACGCAAATCGGATTACGATGAGGCAGGAAGGAAGACGGAGAACAAACGTGCGATCTCAAATCTTCGAATACCAAATTAAATTATTTCGATCGAGCATTAGTCTAATTCGTCGTTTTAATTCATAAATCTCGTTAATTTTACGATCGTGCAACCGACACGGTATTCGCGGCTAAATGCAAATCTATAGATAATAGTCGATCCTCACCGACACCGGGAGTCAAACGAGCTTGAGCTTCGAGATCTATCTCAGACGTAAACGAGAATAACGACTCGTGTCGGTGACGATCGTATTTTAGCCGCGCCCGCGGCCGAAGTATCTGATCACTCAACGGATGGACGTGTTTTACGCGATTTTTTATATGTATACACACGATTATATAATTGTTTCCCTGTTCTTTTCATTCGGCAAACCAGCGTAACGCATAAGTTTTTTGTAGATACAGGATAGCCGATAGATAACCGATAGCTTTAATTATTTAAACGATACAGCTTTTATGTCGAGGACGAAGATCGACGACCGTCTAGGGTGTACGGCAGACATGTAATATAACGTAACAAATAAAAGTGCGTAATTGCGTGCGGATGTACGAGCGGGATTGCGTTAATGTTATCGACGACGGTGAAATGGGAGGAAATCATATCGTAAACCTAATAATGAATATTTTACAACAAAAGGTAACTGTAGATAGACATTCAAAAGGTGTTGAGCCCCCCCCCCCCCCCCC